AGTCCATTTAGTTAGCCAATTTGTTCTCTTTAATTACTCAATTAATATAATCAACTAAATTCCATATTTTATTTAATTGGCTACTTTTTAATTTAATGCCTCATTTAAATTGAGTAGTCTAACATATTCGGTCCAATCACACCATTTTCCATCTTCAATCCATTATTTAGTTACTTTATTTTTATAATAGTCATTGCCATTAATATTATTATTATTGCTATTATTATTATTATCCATTCTGGGTGGCCCAATTGTTTTTTTTTCTATTGGCTCAATGGCCCAACAGCCCAAAAGAAAAGAATAAATAATTCACTCATTATGGGATGAACAGTAAACGCGGTTACTGTTCATCTTCTTAACCATACCTGGACGATGAACTACGACGGACTACCGACGAACGACGACGGCAAAGCTTCCAGTGTCGACGGATACCTCTCCTTCAGCAACGCATAGCAGCGGCGGCTACCCAGAAACATATGGCACTCCGCAACTAGTTTTCGGCGGTCATGGTGGCGTTCAACAGCAGACAAGGAATGGTCTTCTTCTCCGGTGAATTCAAAGCGTCGTGAAAATAATTGGGAATGAGACCCAAAATCTTTCCTTCCCTCTCTTCTTGTTTTCTCACGTTTTTATACTTAAATATAAACTATCACTAGTATTCTACCCGTGCGATGCACGGGAGAATAAAATTTGTTAGTCAAAGAGAATTTTTTTAATATAAACTTTTGTCATATAAACACAAATATTTTGTCATGTAAATTGTGGATGATTTTTTTTAGTTTACAAAAGAATATACTCCGTGTGTGTATGATATCTCCAATTTTGGAACATTTCTTATACGAAACCGTCACAAACTGCATGGTTGATCATTTCTAGTTTAAGAAAGAATTAACACTTTTAAATTAAAACTTATCATCAAATGTTGAATATAACACATCCATAATTTGACAATTATCATCAATGGCGTCATTATATGATATATATTCTAGGGAAAATCACATTTTTAGTCCCTCGAATATAGTACAAATATTGAAATGTAATCCCCGTGTTTTTCAAATGTGTAAATGTAACCCCTCAATTGTCTGAATTAGAGTAAAAGTAGTCCTCGCCCACATTGTTATTTTCATTCCTCAAAGGACTATATTTACACCAATTTGGACATTTGGGGTGAGATTTATAAATTTGAAAGGACATGGATTACATTTCAATATCGATACTATTTGAGGAAATGAAAGTGCGATTTTCCCTATATTCTAATCAAAAGTGTTTCTCAAAATATACCTGAAGTAATTTTTGTCTAAAGAATTGTGCCATTTCAAATGAGAACCTTGAGTCGGGACGGAGGTAATACTAAATTAGATATTTATATGTGAGAAGTAAATGTTATATTAACCAAATAGTATATATGTATTTAAAAAATCAAAGTTTATATTCAATATTTCCCAACCACACATATTAGAAAATTGAAATGTGACTCTATTAGATATTGTGCAAAAACAATATTAGCTTATTTTGTTTTGAAAGAAACAATATCAGTTTATTCATAATTTTGTGAAAATGAATCGACATGTGATAATGATAATAACAACAACAACAACAATAATAATAATAAGAACAATAGTAATAATAATAATAATAATTGTAATTAACTTAAGTATTTTTAGTAATTCATTAACTTAAGTGTTAGAATTAATGTTTTGAACTTTTTGAATTTTTATATATAAAAAGTATAGAAGGGTAGTATAAGATCTGCTCAACTGAATTTGGGATGATTTTATTTTTGATTATCTGTTAGCATATAGAATCTATTATCTGTACTTGTGATTTTTAGATTGTCTATTATTCTCAATGTTAGATCAGAATAAGATCTAAGTGTTTTTTTTGAATAGAATAAGATATAAGTTTATTCCTTCCAAAACTAAAACTTTACTAATATTCCAAAAACCTGTAATATTGATGAAATCTAAAGGGTAACCAAATAAGGTCATGTAACTACAATCCAAAATCCAAATCAATTAGAGTCCAAACTCAACTCAAATGAGACGGATCAAAAAAGAAGCTATCACATTAAAGAAATAGAACATTAAGCCAACATATGCTCTCTGTTTTCTAATTTCAAGTGGTTTATGACTTTATGAAAATAAGCCATACACACTTGACGGAATAATAAAAACATTCTTTTTATGCTTTGATTATAAAGAAAAAACTACATTTTGCATCTAACTTGTATACGAATGCAGTTTACTTTTACACAAATTAAACTGGAAAAATTTAACAAAATAAAGCGAGATTTATTCTCGGGTTTCATTTATATAAGTTTACTTTGTAGAAGTGGAATGAGTTAGGGATGAAAGAGGCCAGGAATTTATGGAGAATAGAGATCAAAGGGTGGTTGGAATTTGTGCCTTGCGAGAGGTTTTGAGTTCGAAACTCGCTAGGCACATAAGGGTTTGAAACTCAATGGATTGAGTTTCAGCCCTGATTACTTCAGGGGGTGGTTGGAATTTTCATGAAGAAGATATCTAGAAGATGATTGGACATTTCTAGTGAGGAAAAAACAATTCGAGACTTGCACATGAGAAAAGAAACAATTCGCGAACAAAATGTGATTAGAGAAATGTTTAAAACAAAGTCATAAATATGAAGAGGGTAAAGCGGATTTGGGGGTGAAACCTCCGGTTGTTCAGATTTTAGATGAGAAACTTAATTATATATCCAAATACAAAGTTACCCAAATACCCTTGAGCTTAGGCGGGAGTCTCACGTAAGTGATTTAATTATATGTAGATGTAGATAGATATAAATTGGGTAAGAAAATAGTAGAGCAACTTAGGAGTGAATTACCATATAATAGTGTATATAATTGGGTAAGAAAATAGTAGAGCAGCTTAGGCATAAGGTATACATATCGCAAAGTCAGATATTTAATTGCATTATTGCGATTGTTTTTTTTTTAACCAAAAGACATTGTTATTGTTAAAAAAATTACCATATAATAGTATATATTAATTGGGTAAGAAAATCTGGAGCAAACTAAATGTATATATTATAATGATAAATAAATGTATATGAAGGCAATTTAGGCATCAACACTATGTATTGCATAGTCAAAGAATTTAAAGACATTATTATTGTTAATATATTATCATATTAGAGAATATATATATATATATATATATATATATATATATATTATCATATAAGAGAGTATATATATAAATTGGGTAAGAAAATTTGTAGCAAACTAAGAGCTCGTTTGGTAACACGAAGAGCCCGTTTGATAATAACAAAATCGGCTGAATCGGCTGATTCTGCTGAAACTTATGAAGTTTTGGCTGAAGTGGCTATATTGACTGATTCTGTTTATCTATGTAAAAAAGTATCTAAAAACATTAATAAAATAAAGAAAAAATTATATGAAAGTATAGCTAAAAAGTTCCTCCACGGTAACTTCAGCCAATACAACCAGAAAAAGTAACTTTAATCTTACTTTTTATTATTATTACACCATTCAACGGGAAATCAAACGTTACGTGTTTGCAAAAAAACCGTTACGGGAAACCAAATGGGCGCTGAAATTGATTGAATCAGCTGGTTCTGCTGAAATTTATGAAATTCTAGCTGAAGTGGATGCATTTACTGATTCTGCTGATTTATAAAAGAAATTATAATGAAAAAACTTTTAATTAATAAAATTAAGAAGAACATATATGAAAAATAGTTAAAATGATTTTCTACAGTAACTTCAACCAATACAACCGGAAAAGTAACTCCGACATTATTTTTTCTTATTATTACAAAATTCAGCGTGCGAAATCAAAATTTATGTGGTTAGTGAAAAAATTGGCTGATAAGTTAAGCCTAACAAATTGAAAAACAGGGTCGGTCATCAAATCAACTTTAAATCATCATATTAATAAAAAACGTGTACAGAGGCAATCATTTAGGTAATGGAATCTATTTATTAAACATAAATAACAATTACAAAGCAATATTAATAAAGGTAATAAATATGTAGTATATACTCGTATTAGACTTTAATAAGTAAGGTAATACTCCGTATATGCTTATATGAAACCGTCCCGGTATATGTAATCATATATACGGAGTATAATAACTACACAACAATAGTAATAATGGTAATAAATTTGTTAGATTTGTAATGTGAACAAATAATGTAGTGACATGTGGCTAACAATAGACAATAGAGTGACACATGACAATAGTAAATAATAAAATGACACATGGCAATGTGATCTTCAATTGTATAATATATAGATAGATATAGATATGCTATTATGCTATTATTATGCTATTATATATATATATTTATATATGTATGCTATATACGTATGTATATATATAGCTTGGTCTGTACTGTGAAGCTTTAGTTGGTGTGAAGAGAACCTCTTCCCAGCACCCCTATTTATACCCATAGAAGAATGTTTTAGCGCAACTGAATGATTTGTGTACTTTTGGCTTTATCTTCAATTTCAACCCAGTGCATGTCGATCGGTATGGCAGCCCCTATTTATTATTACTGTGCTAGATGTATACTCCACTATTTATTATAACTGTACTAGCCGTATGAAGTATTATATATATAATATATATATATATATATATATATATATATTTGGGTGTTGGGGTTGACTCATTCTTATCATTTTGGACCCATGCATTATTACTCTTCTTTGTTGCTCGGCTCCTATATTATTAGATAGATATTATTATGTATTCCGTATGATTATCATGGTTGAAAAGTCAATTCTTTTTAATATACGGAGTACTTATTTGTGTGGTATTTAATACATTTCTGTATTCATTATTAGTTCGTACTTTTGAACTAAAATTATTAAGATGTCACTTTTCATATTTTAATATTTATTTTTGTTTACTCTGTCAGATATATTTTATCTGGTTTATTTTTATTTTATTTTTGCTTAAATTTTTCGAGGTATCACATCTACCCGGGGAAGAAGCTATGGAAAGGAGACGATAGAGTGGCGACCTCATCTAGGTCGTCCATTAGAGCAGAGAGTCATGGCGTCCAGGAGCTACAACAGCGGGAATCACTCCTCTGGCACCCAGGCATGGCGATTGCAGAGCAGCCAGATTGGTAGACAACGAGCCAGATTCTTTGGAGAGGGCTCAGCACACCAGCGGCCGTTTTATAGATCACGGATAGGAGATTCCAGAAAGCTTTCTTTTAGGAGTAAACGGGATTTCTTAGAATCAGAGCATAATAATCAAGCTGGTCAAACTGATTTGGGGCAGCGGCGCAAGTTCGCCCAGAAAAATATAGCTTGGAACGAATCCAGGTTTGATGTATTGATCGAAAGCAAAACTTTTAATTTTGATATAGTTGATGAAACTACTATCCGTATCTCTGAAACAAAGCTAGGAATTTCATCTTTTCTGGAATTGGGCACTGTCAGGGCATTGTGGTTGAAGGAAGCCATTCCTAAGCTCTTTTGTGTGATCAAGTCTTGTAATAGATTAAAGCTTGGTAATGCTTTTCTTATTGAGAGATTTGTCTAAATAGGACTAAAACAAGGTAGAATTGTAAAAATAAGACTCCTATGTTTTATTTAGCAAAAATAGGACTAAAAAGAGGTAATCTGACAAAACTGCCCTTAATTAAAAAAAAAGCCCCTCCAATTCACCGCATCACTCCAGCCGACAGACCAACATCGATCAGATTCAGATGCCCACGCCATCTGCGATGAACAACGATTTGCGATGAAGGCCAGCAGCAATTTGCGATGAAGATGCCAAGGCCGCTTGCCTGCTCTTCTCCAAGACATCCAGGTAATTTTCTCCAAATCTTCTCCTCTCCCATCTCTTCTCCTCTTCTCTCTTCTCTCTTCTCTCTTCTTCTTCCTCCTCTTTTCTTTTTTATCTTCTCGTTCACATCCTCTTCAAACTGGGCCCTCTATTTTCTTTTTCTTTAGATTTCAATTGTTTATTTGTTTATTAATTTTGATTAATTTGGAACCTCAAAATGCCATAAATTACTAGCAATTAGAAAAATGTCAATTTTATGCCATTACATTTATCATGATGACAGTATGCCATGAAACTGACATTGTTACTAAAAAAATGACATTTTAAATATGTCATCTTTGTTTCGAAAATGTCATGTGAATGGCATTATTACTCTTTGAATATGTCATTTTCTTCTTGAACTCTCACCTTGGCAAATGTAATGTCATAAAAGTGACATTATTACAAATAAGTAACATCAATTATGACATTTATCTAAATTTTTTAAATTTCAGGGTAAAACTGTCATCTTCATAAATGCAATGTCATAAAATTGACAGTTTTCAAATTACTGATAATTTTATGGCATTCTCGATTCCTTCTTTATGAATAAAATTGAAATCAAAAGAACAAGATAACAGAATACCAGTAAATTGTAGAGGTTGAGAAGAAGAAGGAGGAGAAAAGAAGAAGAGAAAGAAGAAGAGAAGAAGAGGAAGGAGGAGGAGGAAAAAGAAAAGAGGGTTACCTGGCCGGCAGATTATGGCAGATTGGGGAAGAAGATCGCAGAGCGACGATGCGAGGATCGATGAATTGCAGCGGAACCGGGGTTTTAATTGTAGAAGGGTAAGATTGTAATCTGGAGTCCCATTTAAGCAATTTAAAACTTGAAGTCCTATTTTGGAGTTTTAACCATGTTTTAGTTCCATTTAGGATAATTTCTTTTTCTTATTCTGTATGATATGAATTTCTATGGAGGTTTTATCCGAATCATTGATAAGGGACGAGATTCGTTATTTATACCAGAAGGGCGCAACGGAATAGGAATCAATCTTTTTCTGAAAGGGATTGCTAGAGCAATATCTTTGATGAAAAAAATTGCCCAACCACCAACACCAGCTATAACATATGCTCCCAAGGAGGTGTGCTCAGATAACTTTGATTTTGATCTTCATGTTTTGGATAGGGGCTATTCTGGGCAGACCGATTTTTCCAGTTCAGGTGCTTTGTTTCAAGTCGATATTGAACAAGAGTTGATTTTTGATGAACAACACTATGAGAAAATTCCTGAAACAGATGCATTCTCAAATCTTAAGGACTTCTTTGAACTTACTTTGTCAAATGGGGTGGACTCACTATCTTGTTTTCTCACCAATGAATTTGAGAGGCTACTAGATAAGCGTGATAATCTGATTTTGGGGCCCACTTATGAAGGAAAAGCTATTGTAACCGATACTGTTCTGGAGAAAACTGACCACCAACAACCCAAAGTACCAGAGTTTGGATGTCTTGGTGCTCTTTCTGATGCTTTTGTTTGGGATGGCTATTGCGGTGACTCGTGCTGTTCATGTTCGGGGGATGAATATCTTGGGCATGTTTCAGAAAATGAGAAAAGGGTTCCAATCTCAACATTGGATGATTTATGGGATTCTGATGCCAATGAAGATATATGTGTCAAAGCTTTAAGGGTTACACAAGATAATTACTTACCAACACAAACTTTGAACACCCAGAAAAGAATGTTCAGAAAAAAGAATCAGCGATCGCATCTTATGAAAACAAGATCGCAATCACGAATAGGGCTTTGAAGAATTGATTGAGGGTCGGGATCATCTAGATAGGGTCATAGGGATTGGCTTTGGGTTGGGTAGTTTCTTATTGGTTTCTTTTTGTTTTTTCTCGTTATTTATCTTTTGTTTTATGTTGTCTATGTACTTTTGCTTGCTTTATTTTAATAAAATTTATTTATTTAAAAAAAAGAAAAGAATTGGAGATACTCCTCAATTGAGTATTCGAGAGGGGATAAGTTTTTTTTTTTCGAGAGGGGATAAGTTATAGATATAACAATGATCTACTAAAATATATCAACAAGTGGAAAGTAGCAATGTCAAGTCTTTTTTATTCTTGAATTAAATCTCATATAAGTCGTTCATCTTCGTATTTAATTAAAGGAAATCACTCAATCTCAAAACCCCCCTTTTATTTAATAGTTTTACTAAAAAGAGAATTATTCCTTTCCCTTTGGATACAAACTCTACTTCACCTATACTACGTATAAAGTGCTAGTATTGAATTTATTTTGATGCACTACGACGAAGTGATTCGTCACTTAGAACTGCAGCTAGGATTATAATTGCACATAAAATAAATTAAGAGAGATCTAATTTATTCTAGGACACTTTCACACACACTTAATCGTCCGCTAAGAAATTAGTAATGGTTAAGGGGCCGTACACTTGCTCGTTTTGGCGATAATTTAGAATCCCGTCGCATGAGAAATCAGCCTGGTTCCCTAAATTATTGTACTCTACGCCGCGAGAGTGATAAGAACTTAGTATGATTAGCGTTGCTCAATTAAATAATTTTCATGTGATTAAGACTGATCAACTAGAAATCTGATTACACTCGAATCAATCCATGTTCCCTATCGTCATTAATTAGAAAGAGTCAAGTTATTTTAATCGTTTATTCTCATTTTAATTTTCCAACAAATCAAATCTCGCACAATTGCTTATTTTATTTATTTTCATCGCTGAATTTAGTTAATTCCCGATTTCCGTTTTCCATCCCTGTGGACACGATACTTGTACTTACACCTTATATTACTATCAATTTTAAGTGTGAAAAAACTCATATCATATAGCTACTTCAATTCTATGCCTCTTTTTCATGTTCAGTCAGGGGAGAATCCATTAAACTTCATCAATAGTTCTATGGATTCATCCAAGGAATCATCACTCAAGACGACCTCAAACTGAAAAGGTTTCCTTACACTTTGAGTGGGACGACAAGGGGGTGGTTTCCGAAGCAAACATTAGAAAACTATACAATGTGAGAAGAAATCTACAATGCTTTCATTTCAAAGTACTACAACAACCACAATGACTCAAGAGGTAAGACCTCATATCTTCACCTTTAAGGCTTTAAACAACAAACAAGTCGGAGAGCTTTTCCAAGACAAGTGGAGGCGTTTTAAAGCCTTGTTAAAACAATGCACACCCCATTGCAATCCACTTAACCTTAAATCGACACTTTCTACAATGATTTGAACTCTTCATGTCAAGCCATTGTAAAGAATCAAGTGGAAGGCTACATTGGCGAATAAAATGAAAATGAAACTTGAAAAATCACTGAATTTACTGCTGCTCCAAATCCTCAATCCTCAATTACTAGGAGGAGATATCCACAAAGTTGAAAAAGAGAGAAGATGGTAAGAAATAAAAAGCGTTTCTTGATGTTTTTACCAAATTGAGCATCAACATACCTTTTGCGGAGGCCACTGGGAGATCCCATCATTTGCAAAATTTCTTAAGAGGGTCCTTTCCAATATAAACAAGATAGAAGAGTTAACAACAATGGCACTAATGGGGAATGTAGTGTCATTATTCAAAATAAATTCCTCTAAAATTTAAAGACCCAGAAAGGTTCACCATTCCATACTATATTGAAAAATCAGAGAGGTAAGGTTTCTTGGTGACAATTAGAGGATAGAAAAATCCGCTATCCCATGGATATCTGACATTCATGTAATTTCCATGTTTATATTTGTGTTTTAAATTAGTTTAGAGTGATTGTTACTTTGGAAATTACACACTTTTGGTGTAATAGTTTAGTTTGTAAATTTTTTGTAAATTGTTTAGATTAGGTTTATTCTGAGCTCAAACAGGTCCAAGATCACTCTAGGGACCATTGGTGAACATCACAAGTGGAAGGAAGGTGCAAAAATTCCAAAACAAAATGGAGATTTTGATTTTTGGTATTGTACCCGATCGAGTATGCCCTATACCCGATCGGGTAAGTCGCTGAAAAATCAAATCGGATCAACCCGGGAACAAGGCAACAGGGGAGATTTTGACCACGATCGAGTGTCCATACCCGATCGGGTGGCCGACATACCCGATCGGGTATACCCCAGTTTTTTACACTTCTGCGAAGCAACCGAGTACCCGATCGAGTGCCCTTACAGCCCGATCGGGTACACGACCCTGCAAGCCTAAAAAGCCTATAAATACACCCCATTTCCTCCACAATAAATCACCAATTCCTATATACTTTTAAGCTCAGTTTAGACAAGTTATTTCTTTATATTTTCTTCATGTTTAGTCTCCAAATGAGGAGCTAAACTCTTCCATCTTGATTTTGCTACTTTGAAGCTTAATGAATTGTAAGTTGTGAGTTATTTTCTTTAATCTTCTTCCTTGAATATTAATTAATTCCTACTCCTATTACATATTAATATTTTGAGCATTACTTAAAGGATCAACTAGTTTTGCTTCATGTATTAATTAATATTAGAATCGGTCGATTAATATGCTTGTTATTAATTCGGTCCTTTCACGGTAGTAAACTTGGGTTGTTAATGCATGCGTCTCATGTTTAATAACCCAAGGGGAATTAATTATATTGATTAAACCAATAAACCACTTGTGTTGAGGTTATCAATCTCAATCGTCTTCATCTCTATTTTATTGCTACTATCGAGTGAATATACGGCGCGTGTTCTATATTAACTCGGTAGTAAGTTTTATTAATGAACGCGTCTCGTTATTAATAACTACCCTTGATGAATTGGATATACTCCTCGATTGAGTATTCGAGAGGAAGATAGTTAAAGATATAACCGGGATCGACGAACATTTCATTAAGTGGATAAAAGCAAAACCAAGACTAATTACCTTTGATATTTTATTTCACTCATTTAAGTATTTTATTTGCTTTCTCAATTATCAAAATATTCAATTCCCCATTCTGTTTAATTTTATTTATTACGCTTACACATGCGCGAAAAGCTCATTTCCCTATGGATACGAACTCTACTACGCTATACTACGGTATTAGCCCTTAGTAGTGAATTTAATTTGAGGCACACTACGACAAAGTGCTCGTCAAATTTGGTGCCGTTGCCGGGGAAAGGCTACACTTTTTAACTGTGTGTTTGTGTAATTTTGTTTTTAATTTTCTTTTATTTTTTTTCATTTACCTTGAATAAATTGAAAAGAGCGGGTACACACTTTGATCCTCTACTCCACCCCAAATCCATATTCCCAACTTAACTCCATTTGTCAGTGAGATGAAGAAAAAATGAGGAGCTAGGATGAAAACCCGAAAAGGACTCCTAGGCACAATGAGAGAAAACGAGATAAATTTTAATTTTTGTAGGAGAAAATTTCGTGTGTAAGTTCAAACAACAAGATACCGGATCAGGTTCAGGCCATACTCGTTCGGGTGTTTCCAAAGAGCTTCTCGAAATATTCAAAGGAGGCTAGCACAAAAAGCTTAGCATGGGGGAGCATGAACAGATAAAACTTTGGGAGAAGAAACCAATTTTAAATGTGAGAAGAAACGTGACACTTTGTAAAGCCAAGTCTTCGTCTCATTAATTAAACCACATAAGTCGTTCATCTTTGTGTTTAAATATAATTTAAGTTCATCAACCAAACATAAACCCCCCCTTTGTTACTTATCTATTTCTATAAAAAGAGAAGTGTTCCTTTCCCAGTGGATACAAACCTTACTTCAATATACTACGTATATTTGTCGCATTGTATTATTATTTTGAGGGCACATCACGACAAAGTACACGTCAATATCATGGATGATGTTCTTGTTAAAATTGAAAAATTATACTTTTCAGTATATTCTCTTCTATATCTTGTAAATGGTAGGATCCAATGATGAGACACTTAATGCATAGAAGACACACCCCATTTTTACCCCTCTCTTGAGAATCATAGTTTCCCTCTTTTGAGAGCAAACATATCTTCCAACTTCATATTGGAACAATTAAACACATAAAATTCAAATTTCAAGCAAATGTACCCTTAAATTAAAGAACATATGTACCCCTTAAATATATATCAAAGATCATATACTTGCTCTAACTTTACGATTTTTGTGTTTAATTATTCCAAATGAAACATGAGAGTTATATTTATTCTCCCTTGTAATTATTAACAAAAATGTAATTGTGATTGAAATAATGCATGTCTTTTGTTTTGGCTTTACATTTTTCTTAAAGTTGATCTATTCTTTAATAGTAATTTAATTTATATAATAGCACAAAAAAAAATTTGATTTTATGTTTCGTGCATTGCATGGGTACTATACTACTGAAGATATAGCATGTGATTTTTGAATGTTGGAATAACTTCTAATGTATTTTAGGATGATGAAAGAACTTCAAGCTTCTAAATGTTCACCTAGAAACTGTCAGAGCATTTGAGTTTTATGTGTTTGAGCACAAACAAGTTGTATCAGAAGGAGAGTATGCTCGCACGTGATGGGGAGTAAGAAGATCATTATCCATCTCATAGTTCTGTCCAATGGTTTATAAAAGAAATGATCGTGTTTCCTTGGAGACATCGGTGTATACAAAGGCACCCCAAAAGCTACTAGGTATATTTACTTCAAAATTTTAATATACATTATGTATTCGCATGTATTTTTTACATACACAGGTGCCCCTTCTAGCGGGAATTCATGCGTTCGATACTGCTTGCAGAGTGAAACCACTACACTCACGCTTAGTTGCATCGTACACACTATTTGGAAAGCCATGGCCTTTAGTGTATGTTTGAAAAGTAAGTTTTGCATTGGAGGGGTGAGGAGGGTTTGTGTCCCTCCCTTTCTTGTTC